TTTTATTTAAGACGAGAGGAGAGGGCCTTGGGAGCCGTAGTATAGGTTTAGGTGCCTATTAAAAACTCAAGTCTTTTACATGGATTTCCAACATTTCATACTGTATGTCTTTAACTAATGTAATATCTGTTCCTTTCTGATGGATAATACAATATCCTGACCCATGCGTACTGGGAACTTCAGACGTTCGAATATAACTGAGTAGTGTAAGCTCAACAACAATATGAAGTACTATAATAAGGTGAAATAAAAAACATTTTCATATTAAAAAAGCTACTTATTATTCTCTTTTTTCGGCTTTGTCTGAGATTGCGCTTAAACTTAGGGTCCAAAATTCAATTCAGAACTTTGACAGTTGGTACGTAGTAGTCGCACATAATATAATAAAGTATTACATTCAATTAAGGACAGTTTGCCAGCGCGCTACTTGGAAATGAAGTTTGATCCTATTTTGGATATTAACTAATGAAACTCAATTACATTCAGCAGACACGATAAACTAATATCGAGGGTCGTGGTTTGTCAGTCCCAATTATTTAGTTTCAAAATTACAAGATGTCAGAGCCTCATAAATTTTCATACAAAAGGGTCCAATTTTATGCAAACTTTTTAAAGACATAAAACATTGTCTGTGGTTTTTGAATAGCCGTGAGCCTTGGAAAAGTTATGAATTTTCTTGAATAAAAAATTTATAACTTCACATTATTCGAAGACAAAAGTCAAAAACCTTGTCAGTAGCAGAAACGTTAACCACGAAAAGCTAAGAACAAAAAAAAAAGAAAAAAATTTAAATAACTTCAAAATGACATTTAGGGGGTTGCTAGTTTTTATTAAAATAAAAATAGTGTTCTCGTTATAGGATCAACTTCACCAATCCCACACAGTAGGTCAATAATGTAAATTGTACCGTTTTAATAATTTGTAGAATTTGTTAAATGATGCATGCAGAGACTAAATGTCAATAAATGACTTTGTAACAGATTAATAATCAATAACTTAACGTGTTTCTTGACTGTTTCTGTACCGGTGAGTATATTGAGAACTGAACTAGACAAGGTACTGTAAACAAAGCAACATTATTTTTCAAAGTGAAATAAGTATATGTCAGTTTGTTATCTGGACCTGGATGGGATGGGGAAAAAAATAGGTGCGAGTATCAAAATGGCCACCGTAAAAAATTACTGTTGAAGAAAAATTACAATCTGTAATCTGGCAGTATGGCCAATTAGCCGATTTACATTGTCCTGAAGCACGTAAAATTTTACTACTGATTATAGGGTACTGTAGTGACTGACTTTTATTTATTTATTTATTAAAGGATATCCAACAGGATACAATTAAAAGTTAAAAATCTATTTTACATGGCCAGTATTTAATGCCAATTACAGGATTTTTTTTATTTTTATTTTGTACTAAATATAAGTGCGCATTTGACCTCCATCTCACCTGATGGAAAGTGACGATGAGGTCGACGATGGAGCATGCACACCTAAATAATGCCTATTCACTCTCGCCTTGAAAAGGCCCAAGTTATAACGTTCAGGGAACAAGTCTGCAGGCAGGGAATTCCACTCCATAGCCGTTCGCCATATAAATGTGGAAGCATAACGCTTCGTGCGAATCTTTGGAATATCCACAACATAGGGGTGGAACCCAAGCTTATGCCTAGTCCCCCGGTGACAGAAAGGGGAAGGCGGAATTAAATCGTGTAATTCAATCGCACACTCTCCGTGATATATCCTATAAAATAAGCAGGCAACCTTACGGCGGTGTTCAAGGCTCTGCAGCTTCGCCTCCACTAATTCCGAGTCACCTATAAGCCTCTTGGCATGGTTGTCAATTGAATCCAAAGTGGCCAGTTGGTATGTAGCAGAGCCATCCCAAAGGTGGCAGCAGTACTACTACACTACAGTAACAGCACGACCGGACTTGCGCTTGGTACAGCTGAAGCAACTGTCCTGGTGTAAAGTAATGCCTGACCCTGGTAAGGATGCCAAGCTTCTTTGCTGAGTTCAAATTGGATGACAGGTCCATTCCAAGTAGCTGGAGACAGTCGGCTATCGGTATGGATATATCACGAAAAGTCGGAGTCAGCTCAAAGAGACTCCGTTTTGTGAAGAATAGACACGCCTGCGTTTTGGTAGCGTTAAATTTGATCAGATTGGCATCGCCTCAATCGGAGACTGCCTTGAGCGTCAAATCCAAACGGCTGACCATGGACTCTCGACAAGACTGTATTTCCTCTCTACTGACCCTCGCATTGGTCAAGTACCTATCTACAACTGTGCTGTCATCAGCATACGCAAAGGTACCTGGAATTAACATATCATTGATATGCAGTAGAAAGAGAGTTGCAGACAGTACGGAACCCTGAGGAGGCATCAATCGCCATATGTTCGGAAGAGTAGCCTTCTAAGGCCACTCGAATTAAACGTTCGCTCAAGAAATCCGAGATCCAATTGCAAAGGTCAGCGGGAAGTCCATAAGAGGGAAGCTTACTTAATAGGTTTGCGTGCCAGACCCTGTCAAAAGCTTTAGAAATGTCCAAAGACACTGCAAGTGCTTCGCGTTGCTTTTCTATAGCCTCGCTCCATATGTGACAGGCATACACAAGAAGATCCCCAGCTAGCTACTTGATTTGGAATGTGTATCTATTTATAACTTGAATATAATTGGGCCCTGTTCTGCATAAATGAGTTAACCCGCAAAATGGCAGTTTCGAGATATTGAGCATTTAAGATTTTTGGCAATTAGTTGTCATTACTCATTTAATTAATTAAGTTTACACGACAATTGTATATCAAAAGATTTGTAATGAAGTAAGCATTACGATCAGTTTATAATTTTTTTAAGTAAACAAATTTATGGTTAGTAATTGAATGATAACGGTTTACGCAAAATTAGATATATCAACAAAATTATTACATTATGTGTCAAGTGTGGTTAACAAATTTTTGCTAAATACGGAAAAGTACGTATAAAGTGTCACTTAATCCATGCAAACGCTGAGAAATCACATTTTCATAGTGATCATGTGTTAAACCAAGTAACAGTAGTTTTATTTTTGTCAGTCAACGTGTATTGTTTTCAATAATCAATAGCCCTTATTTTTTTACCACAATAGAGGGTGCACAAAAGGAGCCTCCCCGCGCGACGTAAATTCCGTTAATTTTACGAGATTTGATCGAGATATGTGGGTTGAGGGTCTACCTCTTCCCACGTTTAAATCTACTAACATTCATCCGTTCTACTTGACCACTTAATCTTTCACTACACGACGCTCTCTTATTACTATTTCGTAGTGGCGCGGCTGCAGCGCCACTGTGGCGCACTGTAGCGGTTCTATAAACGCCTAATTTGAAAACGCACCAACAGAGCGCATACTACTCAAAGCTCGTATACTAATAGCATTTACCCTAATTTCCACAAAAAATTAAAAGGTGCGCCATTAGCCAAATTCTTATTTTAACAGTAAAATGATTATTCTCATCGCCCAATCCTCAGTTTCAGAATCTATATCATTTTCCGGTCTGTCTATACCATCGACAAAATTTAAAGTATTTACATTTTTCAAACAAGTTGTATGTGTTAAGCGTACTTAAACTAAATTTTCATACCACCTTGAAAGACATGTGTAATTCGCATTTATGGTTTAACCACACATAACACATTTTTGCGAAATTCACCTATGAAACGAACCAGATTTTGTAAAAACAATTTTTTTGATTTAACAATTACTACGATTTTTTTTAAATACTGAAAAGAATATTAAACTTTATATTACAAGGTATAAGACTGCATTCTCAATTCATTTTACGATTTTCTCTGGGTTAACACATTTATGCAGAACACGGCCCATATCACTTGGTAGTTAAAACCATTGATCCAATTACAACAAAAACACACACAAAAGACATAATCCTAGCTTAGATAAAAGTGAACTAAACTTAATTTAAGTTCAAAGTGAATTTGTCACATTCAAGAAAATAATCTGAAGATTTAATTTTAGTTTAAAACTATAGAACTACGAGACGTTCATAGACTAAGCCGTAGTTTTACACGGCTTGCATTTAAACTGCATTTAAATTTATGAGGTGTAATTTCACACAAATATTTAACGTCTGTCATGTTTCATTAATTTCGAAAGAGACAGATTACACTTTAGTTTCCCATTGCCCCAAATTGATGCTATTATGTTTGTGTCGCTGACATCATACTTTTTGACCCATGGCCGCTAAAGAATAGATGTGTTTCATCAATCTATATTCACGACGTAGAGTCACACGGCGTCTTCGAAGAGTAGTTGTGCTTTCATTCACCATTTTTAAACAAAATTAAATTTATAAAAAAAAATATAAAAAAAGATTATAAGAATTAAAACCAAATTTCCAAAATACTTAGTTAGGGACACACTGTTTCTCAAAATGCAAAACTTACTTGATTTGATAGACTTCAGATCGTCATGTCACTAATTTGCAGTACTCACGAAGTCAATAGAAAACAAAGTCCAAAATGTTAAAAGACACGCTTGGTCACACACAATTTCAGCTGATCCTAATCGACGATCTGACCGAGGTTAACATTATAAAAAAAATCAACCTCAAACTTCGTGGAATTACTTGTATCTGTTTGCCAAGTTCTATTGAAATTGGTTAACGGAAAGTGTGCGAAAATGGATTTATCGTCTAGTTTGCCACTCTTAGAGAGTGGATAATTTTCTTCAAATGTAAATGGGATCAATACTGAGATACCCTCTTTCCAACAAAAAAAATCATGTACTCGTATATTGGTTCACAAGTGCCAGAGAACATACATACAAAAAAAAAAACCAGTAGAATTGTGAACCTTTCTTTTTTTGAAGTCGATTAAATTGCGTACTCTATTGTTCTCTAAAATAACACGCCAGTATAACTTGAAACATGTCAGATATTAAAAACTTATATGCCTACCTTATCTCTTTCTAATTAATTTTAATAATGTGATACTTTCTCTCTTTCCAGCTCATAAAGAAGGCTGTTACATCAAAGAGATCAACGACGTCATCCCCTACGGAGCAGAATACACACCAATTGGCCACTGCAAGAGGATAGAATGTACCAGAACCATGATATACTATGCTACGTAAGTATAAACATAATAATATATTTTTAAATTAACCCACAAGGTAACCATTGCTTGACCGAGGAAATGTACATATAATTATGTAATCTTTAATCGCTGAGTTTTTATTTTTGAGGAAGAAAGTTTCATCCAATAACATCAGTCCTAATTTCTTCATATTTTTCTTTTTCAGATGTGGTAAAATTGGCAACACCGATCCTAACTGTTACATTACACACGTGAATTACAATCAGCCCTATCCTGAATGCTGTCCTGATCTTAAATGTGACTTCGACAACAACCTTATCTAATTCAGGCCTCCTGGGGCTGTTGGCAGAACATTCCAGAAGGTTTTCAGAAAAATGATAGATTACAGAAGAATTAAATTTCCGAAAATTAGTGACGTACAGATATTTCTAGATAATTTGAATTTTGTAAACTTTTGAGATTGCCGAAAAATTTGAGGTGTTGATATATTTTGTACGCCTGTAAATGCAGAAGGACAATGGAAGATTTGAGAGAATTATGTGAACTGAGTAGATAAATTTGCAGAAAAAATTAACAGATCGAAATCAAAAGGTGTACCGAAATTAGAAAGAGAAAAAAACAATTGACGTTTATTTGATTAAAAATATTTGCTGCAAACCTTCTGACCGGCGTCTGAGATAAAGAAAAAGTTATCATTTTAAATGAATATTGCCAACTTTAGCGCCTGTGTGGATCTCCCAAAAAAAGACTTTTGGATTGAGTTCCTTATAAGTGAGAGGAGTTTGTTTTTACTCTTGCTCTAGAAGCTATCTTGCCACCAAATTGTTAATTATTTATTTTAGTATCTAAATTAAACGTTAATTTTAACATATTTTTCGTTTTTATTTACACTTTAAAATTGTCTTGTGTTGGATGTACCCATCGGCCATTCGTTTCGCTAGGAATGTTCCCCGCCCACTGTCACTTCATTTTTGAAATTCTTTGGGCCATGCCGGTTACTCTGGTTTCCCTGTGAATGATTCGATCTCGCAGTGAAACTCTGACCATAACCTTGAGCCTTCTTATGAGTTCCACAGTGAGCAACCACGTCTCAGTGACGTAAGTCATCACTGGCAACACACACTACTGTGAAACACTATGGTAATTTGGATAAGAAATTACAGGTGAAATTAAAGGCACTTGGGACTTGTTAACTTATGTCTCAGGGAGATGGGTGCAGTGACAGTGTCCTTAAGATCTTTGAGACTAAAAGCTCTGAGTGGCACAGCAACTGTTTTGGATAGGCGTGTCGCTTACCACCAGGCGCACGACTTGTTCGTCCCGTCGCTTAGTATTATAAATAACAAAACACTACAGAGTACTGAAAAACCGACCTCCAAAGTCATTCATACCCAAGTTTGCCACCCTTAAAGGTGGAATATTTTTTTCATATTATAATTTAAATAGTACCACCTCTGGATTATCCTCTTTCCAACAAAAAAAAAAAGAATCACCAAAATTGGTTCACAAATGCCGAAGTTATCGCGTTACATATATATAAAAAACATGCAGTCGAATTAAGAACTTTCTCTTTTTTTGAAGTCGGGCAAAAAATAAATTGGTAGGATCAAAATAAGAATAGCTTCATTTGACCGAGTCAAGTAATACGCATAAAAACGTTATCTATGTGCTAGCGCAATTCAAATTATAATCAAAAGACTAACTATGTGTAACAAAAATGTTTTAATATATCTTTCCTATAACTGTTACTTCTATTAATATCACTTGCCAAAGGTATAATAACCATTAGAACAGCCTATTGTAACGATTATGACAAACTGAAATGGTGGCGCTTATTTTGACGTTTATTATCAATGTTTGTGTTATCAGTAAAATAATAAGTCCTTTAAAGTTTCGCAAATTGCGCGACTTGGGGTCCAACAAGTCAGCTTTTACTATCTTATACACCAGAATTCTGCTTGAACCACTTTTCATGTACTTCTCGTAAAGAAAACAATAAAGGGGTTTTACAATAGAGTTGGTCAATAAAGTCGAACGGCAGCGTTTTTATGTTTATTACGCACTTCGGAGTGGCCTCTCCAAATTATCCTTTTGTTTTTAATGCCCTCTCTAACTGGTAATCTTTGCAGTATTCTTTTGAGTTTGTGAGTTAATATTCTTTGCTAAATTAAGTTACTTTTCGAGATCTTTTCAAACGAGTTCAAACCCGACAAGTCCTAGACTCGTATTGATAAACATCTCCCAACTTCGGTGTAGTGAATTGCATCACTCGCAACGAATCTTTTTGTACATAATTTTATATAGTCTTTTAGCAGTTTACGTTTAGATTGAAATTCTAAAGTACTTGTAGGTGCCTTAACGACGATGGATGAATAAGTCGTGAGACTGGTGCTAACCGATGCGTTTGTCCAAGGGCAGTTGCATTGCCATTCAAAACTTTAAATCGCAAAGATCTGAGGGACAATGCCACTGCGTCTGTCACTCTAAGATATGAGTTGACAAGTCCCATGAGCACACTTACACTTCAAAACCGGAACACAGAAATAAGTCTTTTAAGGCAAAACATTAGAAATAAGTCTTTTTGCACGATATTTCCGTTGATGTGTTTTGTGTTACAGAACACTAGCTGAAAGACTACGAAGCAATTAACAACATAAAAAAATATGTAATAGTCAGTTCGTTCATAAGAAAGAGCTTAAGTAGAGGCGGATCCATGATTATTATTAAACGTAACTTAAAATTTAAAGAGCGTAAGGATATCACAAATCTTTCTACTGAACGAACTATTGAGATTTCATGTGTGGAATTGGATCAGTTTTTCGTCTTATGTGTATACAGGCCCCCCTCTGCTAATTTTAACGAGTTGATTTAATTATGGAAGATAGTTTAAAGCGGATTTTTCCAACAAAAAAAAAGCGTAGTAATATGTGGATATTTCAATGTAAACCTGTTGGAAAACTGTTCTACTTCTGTAAGACTCATTAAAAGTTTTAAGTTGATTAATATTTTCTTAGAACCAACTCGCATCACTGCCTCCTCTTCTACTTGTATTGATAACATCTTTTGTAACAAAGACGCAGTTTCTAAATCAAAAATAAATTTTAAATAAAATTAGGATCAGACTATAGTGGCCAAAGAAGCCAATTTCTTTTAATTGTAAAATGAGCAAGAAGGTAGATCAATTTCTTTGCAGATCGATAACCACAGAACGAATCATTAGATTTCAAAATAATATCGGCAATAGTTTAAATTGCCTACCCCATAAACCGGAGGTTCCAAATACTTAACATAGCACGATATTTGGTTTAATTAAAAATGAATTTGATAATGTATTTAAATCGAAAACATTAACTTTCCATAGAGAGACTAAATTCAACGACTGGGCAACAGTAGGTATTCATAAGAGTAGGTCTCGTTTGTAAGAGCTTTATGCTATATAAATTTATAATACTAATTCCAATTTCATAGAATATGTTACAAAATAATTCAAAAATAGTTAAAAAAGTTTGTGTAGCTGCTAAGGTTAAGTTTCACAGCGACAAAATTAGACAATCGATAAATAAATCTAAACCTACTTGGAGTATAATAAATAAAGAGTCAGACAGGGTTAAACAACACGATAGAGATATAGTTTTAGAATTAGACAGTAAACTTATAAAATCTAAAGACAAGGTAGCCCAAACTTTTGAGTCGTTCTTTTCGGAAATTGCTGTGAACACTACAGAATAATTAAATTCCTCCCCTTCTCTTGCTATTGATCTCCTAAAGGAAAATGTTAACATTTGTGGCAGTTTATTTAATTTCCGTCATGTTAAACCACAAGACATCCCAAAAGCTTTTAAATCAATACATTGTCATGTTAAAAAAAACTGAAACTCTCTGGGGCATATCAACTAAAGTTATAGACTCAGTTATTGATCTTATTTCCCCACATTTAGCTGTAGCTTTCAATAGGTGCGTTGACGAGGGTGTTTTTCCCGATTTAATGAAGTACAGCAAGGTTATTCCCTTATTCAAAAGCGGTAGGAAAATTGATCCTAGCAACTATAGGCCCATTTAAATTTTACCAGATTTAAGTAAAATATTCGAAAAGGTTATGCTGACTCAATTACTGTCCTATTTCGGTAGGAATTATATTTTTCATAGTGAACAATACGGCTTTACTAGTGATAGATCGAATAGCGATGCGGGGGTAGCGTTACTAAAACACATCTTTGATGCTTGGGAAAGGTCCCAGAATGCTATTGGTGTTTTCTGTGACCTCTCAAAGGCATTTGATTGCGTTGATCATATTACTCTTATTAGGAAGCTGGAACATTACGGTGTGAATGGCAAGGCGTCGAAACTTGTCATATCTCAACGGTAGAATTCAGAAAGTAGACATAATTAGAGTGACTTCTTTGGGTTCTCCGGTAAAAATGGGTGTTCCGCAGGGCTCAATACTTGGACCTTTCTTATTTCTGATTTATATTAATGATCTGCCGTTCTTAGTTAAGGACCATTGCGAAATAGTCTTGTTTGCTGATGACACATCCTTGATTTTTAAAACAGACAGACATGACATTAACTTTGACCATATTAATGATACCCTCTCTAAGGCAGTTTATTGGTTTAATGCTAACAATTTATTGCTTAATGCCAAGAAGACAAAATGTGTTCAATTTGAATTACCTAACGTAAAATTGACTAGTCCAAGCATAGAAATAAACGGAGAAAAGTTTGACCTTGTTAATAAAGCAGTCTTCTTGGGAGTGACCTTAGATAGTAAACTTCTATGGTTTCCACATATATCTTCCTTGGCCAGCAGAGTAAGCTCCGCTGCATACGCAGTCCGCAGAATACGTGAGCTTACCGATGTTAGTATTGCTAGATAAGTTTACTTTAGTTACTTCCATAGTATAATGTCCTACGGGATTCCCATGCGTGGTAAAGCGGCAGATATTCAAACCATATTTGTATTACAAATGCGAGCGATTTGTTCTGTGTACCGTTTAGGCTCTCGGGTTTCTCTCAGAGAAAAGTTTAAGGAGACTGGTATCATGACTGTGGCATCACAGTACATTTACTCAAATATTTTATATGCCCGTAAAATGATACATAATTTCAATAAGAAAGAAGATATCCATATTATTAACCTTAGAGCTAAGTCCAAACTCAAGGTACCACGATTTCGTTTAACCAAGGTTAACAACTCTTTTATGGGGATCTGTATACGTTTTTGCAACAAGATTCCGGAGCATGTATTGAGTTTATCATTTCCTAATTTTAAAAAGTACATTAAAAATATTTTCATCGAATAATCAAATTGAAGACTACGTGTTAGATAAGGACGACGTTAGGAAAGACGACACGGCTCCAGAATACACACAAATTTGATTCAAAGTGTATTCCATAGCATTTAAGTTTATTTGAAAACAGCAACCCCTAGAGTTTCTTGCTCGTTCTTCTCAAGGAGGTCAGTGTAGTGAACGAGGAGTAGCTTAAATGTGACGTTTTCAAGTTTAAATTTATTTTACCTATGGAATAAATAATCTTTGACTTTGACTTCACGTTACTGCTTGGCGGCGGAATTGGGCAAGGTTAAGGCAGTAGTCCTTTCGGCGAACTCTTTAACACGGAGCTCTTCTACTGCTGCTTTGAACTGCCTCTGTGGCCGCAGTTCGATTCCCGGGCGGGGAGTAATATTTGTATGGCCAACTTTTATTGCTCTCGTGAGTTTGGGTGTAATTTGTGGTTGTCTACCCCTGTGTGTGTCCATGGCACCCTCGATACAGGGTTTCCCTAGTGCGGGGTTATGAGTGTATGCGTTATTATTATTATTACTGCTATCAAAGTTATAGTGAATG